GTTAAGAGATCAACCAAAGGACTTGTATGCATGCATATAAGCATAACCAATGGACATAAGACACTGGGGGATAGGGGAGGCTAGGGGACTGTCTAGGGCTGGGGAAAAAATGGACACATATGTAATACTCTTTGTAATACTTTAAGCAATAAAAAAAAAAGACAGAAAAAAAAAAGGTAGGCATTTTATGGTGACTTCCTTAACCAAGTGATTAAGTTTAAGTATCACTAAGAGAAGAACAAGCTGACATTGTTCTTTTATTTCTTTTCTTCTTAATAAGATTCTGTATCAAGTGCATAGCATCACCCATGAAGTATTCTGGCCAAATGTGTTCAAACCCAATCTAATCAAACAATTAGGCCTAACTTTCATTTCATGGGAATGCAAAGTAAAATTGACTAAAGGTTAAGTGACAACAGAAGGAAATAATGAGACAAATCCTCTAAAAGTCAACCAGTCTGTCACTTAAAAAAAAAAATTCAGGGGCAACTCCTACCAATCAAAAGAAACTAAAGAGACATTCCAAATATAATGCATGAATATGGATTAGATCTTGGCTGCAACACAAGAGCTATAAAAAATTTTCTGAGGCAAACTACAGAAATATAAATATGAGTATTGATGACAATGTCCATACAGGGTAGGGCAAACGTAGGTTTACAGTTGTGAGTTCATGGAACAAATTTATTCTTGCATCATTATTTATTAATTATTGTATTCTTCCCATATGAACAACTGTAAACCTACGTTGCCCCACAACCACACACAAATTGAGAGCTCAAATGTGGTGAAAATTGTTGAATCTAAGTAAGAGCATAAGAATGTTCAACTGTATCTTTCAACTTTTCTACACTTGAAATTTTTCAAAATGAAAGGTTGGGAGAAAAAAATTATTGATTTTATAATATCTTTACAAGATGGTAACATGGGTTCATTACTTTTTAAATATGAGAAAAAAAAGATGTGTCCGGAGAACATGTCATCAAGCAGGAGTACGTGTGGTGCCAGATACCTTCATCATATGCTTTTCTATCTCTTCTGACCATTTCTCCCAATGTTCATTCCTTCACCCTTTGTCTTCCCTTTCTACCTTTTATTTCTATCATTAGCCTGTGACACACTCCTTCTGAAGCTACTAAAATCTTAGTTCCTCTTTTGGTAGCATACATCTAGAAACCCCTGGGCTCACCTCGGAAGCGAGTGATCATTTTATACATTCGCCGTATATAAGCCTAAAGTGCTACAAAAATATAGTTATTAAGGAGAGACTAACACGTTCAGCTCATTTATTTCAAGTCATCAAATATATATTGATAATGATATTTCATTATCATTCTAAATAATAGTATAATTTCCACCCTAAATTTCCATTAATCCTCAGAATTAGGTCCAGTTCTTCTGACCACCAACTCTGTAGTTCTTCTTGCAATCGTGTGCTACATTCTATATTGTTCTAGGACTGTCATTCTCACTGTGGTCCAAGGACCAGAACATTAGCATGCCCTGGGAACTTGTTAGAAATGCAGATTCTCTAGCCCCACCCAGACTACTAAATCAGAAAATCTGTGGGTAGGGTCCAGGTCTGTGTTTTAACAGCCATCCAATTCTGATCACACTAAAATTTGAGAACCACTTGAGGCTGAGCCAGTTTATTTAAAGCGAAAGAAAGACAAGATTCATTATATGCTGAAGCCATACATGGAAAAATGCTTTGCAGCACCAAAGATTTCCATATGGCACCAGATGGAGTCAAATCTTACGTAGACTGTACTCGGCATACCTTGGCCTGCCACTGGCACCATGGCTTCTGAATGATCTGACAGGTCCAAGCTAAAGCCTCTGATTGCAGACAGCATTGAAACAACAATGAAAGAGCTGTACGGAGAGCAGGTCTGATGATCAGGATTGAGTTTAAATCCAGTGGCACAGGCGCACGAGAAGAGTCCTCCCGGTACAGGCAGGCACATCTGCTGACAGGCATTCACATTGTTGCTACAGCCATTTGAGGATCCAGCAGAGCCTAAATGAAATAAAAATTAGTGACCTACCTACTTGCCTCTCCATCTCAAACTTTTAAAATTGGGTCACCAAGTAATTCATTATAAAAATTAATAACAAAATATGGGGGGTGGGGAGAGATTAACCAAAGAATATATATATATAACCCAATGGATACAGACAATAGTGTGGTGAAGGCCTGGGGGTGGGGGTGGGAGCAGGGAGGAAGGGGTTAATGGGGGATAAAGGGGAATATCTGTAATACTTTCAACAATAAAGATCATTTTTTAAAAAATATGGTATCTGAGTTCACAACTTAAAAACAATACTAGAAAAAACTAGAGCTTATACAACTAACACCTAAAGGTATGACAACAGGATCACAGTTGTTATTATATAATAGAGAACGGACCATCAATTAATTGTATTTCTTCCACAAATCATGCAAGAATTAGGGTGATCAGTATATAAATTCTAATCTTTTTCCCCCTCTTAGCCTAATGTACTAGCATTTAAAATTATATTAATTTAATTATATGATCAACAATGTCATAGGCATTTGCTATAAAATATCCTATCTAATAAAAGAGTAATATATAAATTAACTGTCACTCCGCAACAAAGATGGTGGCGCCCATAGTGGCAGGGGCAGGATGCTGGTGTTGCCCCAGCAACGCAAGCCCAGTGTCCATGCCCCAGCCACGTGGAGGGTAAGGAGGGGCCATGGCTGTGCAGTGGGAGGGGAGGGGCCTCAGGCCAGAGGCCAGGGCGAGGGATGCTGTTGTCGTTGCAAGCCGGGCTGAAGGACCAGCCTCCCCACCCCCGATGCACGAATTTCATGCACCAGGTCTCTAGTATTACATAAGAGTATTGAAAGGTTTTTTTCCCACATGCAATAAATATAATACCAGTGACAACCAAGGTAATAGAACAGCAAATTGTTTGATAATCTTTGGTCAGAAACTAAAAGCTATAAAATATGTCAAAACTATAAAAATAATCTTTAGATCCTAATTTAAAAGGGAAAAACAAAAGTTAGATTATTTCTGGAAAAAAACTACGTTAAAATAGGCAACATCTAAAAGTATTCCTTTTAAAATTAAAAATTCTATCCTTTTAACACTTTCCCAGCAGTCATCCAATTAATACATACTGAGCAATATGCCAGAACTCTTCTAGTTACTGGGTAGAGGGCATGAAACAAGACAAACAAAATGACTGTCCTTATGGAAGTTATATTCTAATGAGAAACTCAGGCAATGAACCAATAGACAATATGTCAGTGAGTGCTGTGAAGCAAAAGCAAAGTACAGAGTTTAAAGTGATGGGGGAAGAATGGGAATGAGCTCACTCTGAAGTCAATCTGGCCTTTCAGATGACAGATTAGTCTCAGACACTTAGCCATTCTTAAGACATGGTTATCATTTTTAAAATATTTGGGGTAATTTCAATTTGCATGCATGGGCATGTACATTGGTCTGTGTGTGTACATCCATGGATGTGTATGTTTCAGTGACAAATACTTACTGCGTCTGTGGTAAACTCGAAGTCCCCTCAGATTTGGAGTATTATCTCGCAAGACTACTTTGTTGGCCCCAGTGGCCTTGTCAACTCTTTCAATGACCTCATAATGCTCATCAGTATAATAGAGGAAGGAACCGTAGACAGCAATTCCCCAGGGATGGGAAAGATAGTTTACCAGGACCATTCGATTGGTGCCATCCACGTTTCCCCTTTCAATCTAAAAGATCAGAATTTTGTTAGTGACTGATTCATAGTAAAATGAGAGAAACCTTTAAAACTAATATATCTGACTCTGTACTTTACAGAAATTTTTCATATCTATTTCCTGATTTGATAGCCACAACTATACTAAGCAGTTGGTCAGGCAAATGTCACTGTGCCCATATCATTGATAATGAAGCTGGAGTTCAAATAAGCCAATCAATTTTATCAGGTGGCATGGTGAAGAAATGGGTACCAAACCTCCTTCATCCCTAAATGTGATATTCTGGCCAAAGATACACAATCACTGCCTCCTCAAATAAATCCAATGGTGGGCCATTGCACAGGAGTTGACTGACCCTGCATTTAACATCGTCAACAATTTCTGCAATAGGGATAGGGAACGTGATCCGTACAGTCATAGAAGATAGCAGGACTGGTGGGGCAAAGGGTCGTGTTGGTAGAGCAGGACTGGTAACAAGCCTTAGTCAAAATGACTTGGTAAACTAAAAAAGAACACACAAGAATGAAGTTCCTTCTGGAAAATAAATAACAAGTGTTTGCTTCTGGAAGAACAACAAACTGTAGACATAGCTGCTCTGATTTCATTCCAAAAACTTGTCTCAAGTGCTTCCTCTGTGCCAGGATCTGAACTGAGTACTGACAAGAGAGACAAACGAGGTCTGGCCCACTGCCTCACTGGACACAGGAACCCAGCAGTTGCAAAAGCAGGTTGTGCCTTGAGAACTGACAGAAGTTCCTGAAGGCTAGAGCACAGGAAATAAGGTTGGAGGGGATCTGCTGAAGGAGTAATCTGGAGCAGATGAGCTGACCAATTCAGCTGAAGTGTTTGGAGCTACTCCTCTAGGCCAATGTTCTAGGCTGAGCGGTTATCAAACCTATTTGTTGTGGTTTTATGAAGACAACAAGTCTCCATCATGAAAGCAGGTCCGGTAATGAGGGACATGGTCTAGTCAAGGCTAGAGAGAAGTGGCTCAGAGTCGGGGAGGTGGCAGAAAAAAGGCTGGGCCTGAGAAAAGAGGCAGAGGACAAGGATTTGTAATGATTAAGTATGAACATGGTTATTAGAGTGAAGGAGAAATAGGAGGTTCTAGCCTGGGAGAAAGGATGGAGAGTCACACCACTAACAAGCTCACAGATTCAGAAGGGCAGAGCAGAAGTAGAAATGGGAAGGATGGACATGGTGAGTGCTGTGGGGGTCACGCCAAGTTATATGCAGAAATCATAGCATGTGACAAGAGCTTTCTCATCACTGCACACATTCCAGACAACTCAGAACAATCAGTATCAGCTTCACAAGCTCAGCAAGGAAGACCAAAGACTAAAAGGATGCTCATACCACCCCCCTGCTGGTGACCGCCCAGTAGAGTTTCTGATCCTCAATGTCAAGAGTGAGAAACTCCAGGTGTTCCAGGTCTCCAGTGAAGAGGGTTTTTGGAGATGTGCCATCCATGTGAGCACTTGCAATCTTCGCAGGAACTCCACTGTCAGTTCCTTGGTCTGACCAGTACAGTTTCCTTCAACCATGAAAAACACCATCATTAATGAAACAGAAGGTGGCTTACAGTGAATGGCATCTGTATCTTAAATATTTAAATTAAAATGTATATTTCTTTTCCTCAAGATGCACCTAATTCAATGGAGGAAGTCTGATACATCAATATTTTTTTTAAAAAAACACAAAGTGGAGGAGTACTTAACCAGAATCAATGTCTATATATCTCCTAGCTATTATTGGGGCAGAGGCCATTTTAAATAGTATCTTATCCAGGAGGATATCATTCACCATTAGTGGGTGATCCTTTAGCTTTGTCAAGTAGGTGGGAGGTTTATGGCTAAGAAAGAGCCTATATCAACAGGCAATCGCTTTCAAAGAATCGCATATCGCCCAGTACCCAGAGAAGGACAAAGCTAATGTGAAAGTTGTCGAGTACCTTCCTGCTCTTCTCAGGCTTCTTATTTAATTCTCCAAATCACCATCTATCACAAGGCCATCTACTTTCTTATCTAATCTGCTTCCTTTTATGAAAAATGCAGAACAATAGAAGAAAAAATAATACTTTTCTGAGAATGGAATCCCATTGGCATGCTGATATCAGGATATACAACTTTTTCCTACCTTTCCATTTCACAATGAACTAGACTCAGTACATTCACATGAACCCCAATCACCACAGAGAATTGCCAAGTCCATGATATATGAAAATTTATCAAAATATATGAAGGGTTGGTTTCCACTGAAGACACACTTCTAGAATTGAATCCAAGCTTTAATTTCTTGCTATCTCTTCTGCTATAGCCACAATAAACAATCCTCTTCACTCTTTTCTCACAAGTCCTTAACCTTCTTAATTCCAATCACCTTTATTTGCATACATCTTCCACTACCAATCCATAATCATCCCATGAACCTCATCATCAAGTCTAAACTTCTCGCCCTCTAACTTCTCAAATTCTGAAATTCTCTGATTTGACTCTCCCATTTCATCCCTGCTTCTATTTTATTTCTCCCATTGAAGCTTCTTTGCCCTTAAAACTTGTTTGAGCTCCCAAACCTCCAGTCCTTCTATGCCTGAACCTCATCTGTAACCATTTAAATAATATTCTTATTTATTCTCTTGATCTCCCATTGTGCCTACCTTGCTAAACACCAAACCTGCATTCCTGTCATTATTTCCTTTCTCCTCTCCCATTCCAGGTTATCAAAAGTTTGCTGAACAAAGTTACAAAACTCTTGTGAATTCTGAGTTCACTAAAATTTAAGCTACCTAATCTTAGCTGAGAACAATCATTCCTAGTTCACTGTATCATGTTCCCCTTATCAATTCATTCAAAGTCATTTCTACTGTCATTCCTGGCCCATAATTTTCACTCAATTATTTCATCAATGATTTTTCATCTGCTCTTAAAAATATGCTCATGTTTCCCTATTCTAAAATCTTTTTCCTGTGACATTTTGACCTACACTTGTTCATCTTTTTCTAATTTTTCTTTTTTTTTTTACTTTTCAATACCAAACACTCCTAAAAGGAGTAGTTGCACTTCCTCACCATTCTTTCATTGTTTAGCGCCTTTATATTTCCAGTGAACATCCTCTCTCACATGTCACCAGCAACTCTATAATTGCCTCAACCCTTTATTAGTGATCATCCACAGAAATCATTTTCTGCAGCACCTAATTCAATAACATTGGCTGTAACCTTCTGAAGATTTTTCTCTTTACTGAACATCCAAAACATTATATCCATGAGTTTCTATCCTGTTTCTTCTCTCAATTCTTCTGTCAAAATCATTGCCTCCCAA